TGTTTGTGTGTGTTTGCGTGCTTGCATGCGTGATATTGGAGGGTATGGGGAGCGTCTTGGAAGGGATGGGGGGCCTCTTGGTGGGCTTTTAAAGAGTTTGCTTCAGTGACTGGATAGGGACGTGGCTTTGGGTGGGTATGCCATAATATGCATGCGTACAAACATGTGTTAGTACTGTGGGTGAGTGTACGTGTGCCTTCGTGCGAGCTCAGTAAGGAGCTTTCTGTTTGGTTTGGTTGTGAAGGAAAATAGTACTTTTGACCCCAGCCCAAATGCGAAGCATATCGCCTTTATCTTTGCCATTTTCTGTCTGTCTGTCTATCTGTCTGTCTGTCTGTCTGTGGGTCTATCTATCTGTCTGTCTGGCTGGTTGTCTGTCTGTATGTATGTATGTATGTCTGTCTATCGAGAGATTGATCGACCTATCCATCTATCCATCAATTTGTCAATCGTTCTACAAATGTACATATCTATTCATCTAACTCTCGTTCGTCTTCTACAGGTTCGGGTTATGCTGCTTCCCGGCAAGAAACAGAGGCACAAGACGAAGGTGAAGACCGGAGAGAGCCCAGTCTACGACGAGAAGGTCTACTTCAACAAAATTTTACCTGGTAAAAATCTGACCCTACACTCACTTAATCAAATAAGACTTATTGAACATGCTTTGTGGACATGTTTCAGCATACTTCACGAAATTGTTTGTCGTATTATATTTGAAAGACAGGCACGGAGTAGTTACCCACCGAACAATCTAGTGTAAATTAACTTTTTGTTGAGTGAAATAAGGCGTTTATAAGAACTTTTTTTCAAAAGAGGTATACAATTGCTTTACCCCCCCCCTCCCCCCGGCCCCAATCAAATAACAAAAAACCATAGCTGCAAATAATTATGATATTGTAGCGAAGGCACATTAAGCAAACTTTAAATCTTATTTAATACGAGTTAGGAGGAAAACATTTTAACACTGGGAAACAAATTGACTCAAATTCCAATGTTTATGTGACAATTTGATTGCGTTGAGTTAACGACTTATCGGTCGGCAATTAAAAATCGGAAATTAACCTAAAGTTAAACTCATGACGCAGTTTGAAGCTGCCATTAGCATTCAACTTAATATGGTTATGCTGATGTGAGCGGTAATTGTCCGGCTTGCTGGAACAAACGTGGCTCGGGTTCATGAATCAATACGGCTCAAACCCGGCTCACTTGCTGGTGGTGTCTCTTCCACGTTGCACGACATAGCCTGCTTCACTGCAGCTGAGAACATGACGTTATAATTCACCTGTATGGATTTTTCCTCCTGTAGCGTTACACTATGGAGTTTATCGGCTAGAATTTTGAATGACCCACTGCTATCTGATTGCAGAATACCACGACTCCCTCCCCCAGATCATTATGTTTTATGCTGATAAGAGGCATTGATCAGACAAGCGAGGTAGCTGTCGGCTTTGTTACAACAACTGAACTGCACTGGAAGAGGTTTAGATTGCACGAATCGATTTGTGTCCGTCTCAGTTTAAATGATTGATGAGCAATTCCATTCCAGGTTTGTTCAATTCTCCAAAATGTCAGCCTGAAAGTGCCAATAATGTTTTGTAATCGATCGTAAGGAATGATTTTAAAACAAAGTACTTAGAATGAAGATGAAAGAAAAGCATAGGATGGTCATATATTGTTGTTGAATTGTTGGAGCTTAGCAAAAGTAAACCCCCATCCCCATTGAAAAACAAAATATAGCCAAATGAACCCAGTGAAGTGATAGCTTTTTAAATCGCCGGATGTTGACCAATCTTTCTCTACAACAAACTAAGAAGAAAACAATTCCTCAATGGTGTCGAGCACTGATGGCCCATCTCTCTGGCTGCCTATTTTACAGGAAAGACTGAGATCTGTTTCCTCTATCAAAGACCTCTTCAACTCAAATTTCAATTCTATGTTCGTTGAGGTAATGTTTTGGCGATTTCACAGCATATATAAACCCCCCCCCCCCCCCAGGTTTTAGACCAATGCTTGCAGACCTGGGTGATATTGCCTATTAGTGGGAGATTTGATAATTCTTATGGACAATGAGGATCATCCGGATAGTGACAAGCATTATTTAATGCCATGCTTGGGAATTACATGTATGTAGGAGAGCGGTAGTAAACTTTCTGCCTCTTAGAGCTCTGATTATAAAAAAGATTGACAGTCACTGGTTTGGGTGGGTTTTTTTTAGCATTATGGAGGTGTTCTCCATTTGTGTCTGACACCACCGATATCAGGTATGACCACTGTCAGACAATTACAGAGAGAAAAGCCAGATCGCCTATTAAAATCATAGACTTCTATTTATTAATATCCGAGACTGCCCACTCTGACGTAATTCTGGTTCACCACAGAGCGCGCCATTTGACTCAATTGAAAACCAAACGAAGAGCGAGGAGAAAAGGATGAGCGCATTCTCGACTATTGCAAGACTGGTGTTTGCGCAGTATCTATTCGGAGACTTCTCCGGCGGAGATAGACCAATCAAAAAGCCTCTAGACCAAGTTTTAAAAAATCACGGGGGTTACAGAGGGGCACGCCCCCCAGTTTTTACCAATAATTTGATATTTTGTAGTTAGGTTTGAAATTTTCTTGAAAATAATTGATTTCCGGCAGTTTTAGTGGCTATATGTGTGATCTTCAGCAAACAATACGCAGTTTAACAGCCCCCCCCCCCTTCCCAAGCAGTGCATCTGTGTGCGGGAGTGCGTCTCCGGATAGTTCCAGGGTGTTCGCCGAAGACGTCTCCGAATATCTTCTGCCGGTGTTTTGCCCTTCGTTTGGAAGCCCATGCAGCGCAGCAACGTTTTTATAGAAAGAGCAAATAGCGGCGATAATGACAGTACACAGTCTAGGATATTGCAATTCAAGTCTATAGCTAAGGCTGATCTACGTGTGGCGGTAGTTAAAGCACCACCCTGTTAACTAGAAAATAGAGTTCGGACCAGTTCGATACATATGAAAAGAAGGGCATCCTGAAGACTCAGGCAGCGGCCGAAATTGGTGAAGTAAAGTTTGCAAGGTTGAAAACATCGAACGTTTGATAAGAATTTTAAACACAAGAAGAAAATACGAGCAGTCTCAAGGACGTTATCACAACGTTCGATGCTAACAATGAGAGATGCGGGCTCCTGCGGTTAACACGGATAATCCAGCCGTCATTGGTAAGAACAACATACGTGGAGATACAGTAATGTACAATCACGAGTTCATAGAAAAATAGGAGTTCAGCAAGGGTTAACCTTCAGCATTCGGCTCGATGGCCATGTTGTCAGAGAAGCTCATAATTGGACTTAGGGCTACTGCACGACATCCAGCCAAAAATCTCTCTTTTCCAACCAGTGCTGGCAGCACTACATTACTCGTTTCCTTCCATGAAATTCCCAACAGTCTCCCAAGAAACCAAATGTCTGTTGCTTCAAATTTATTTCACTTTTTTGGTTATTTATCAAGTATTTATTACCAAAGACTATGTCGATATGATTGTTTTTATAACTCTTAATTAAGAAGTCTGATCCCGGACATATTTAGCCTTTATCGTAACTATTTAAATATTCCCATCTCACTTGTACTTACGTACGAGAATTTGTACAATTATTTGACATAAACTTTGCTTTTATTTCAGACGAAGTCCCTGGCATGGGTATTCGATTCCGGCTTTACGGCCTGGAGCGCATGCGCAGAGAGAGGATGATTGGAGAGAGTATTGTTGGCTTCGCGTCCTTGAATTTGGAGCAGGAGACCACCCACTGGGTCGTTTTGGAACCGCGGAGCAATCTCAGTGTAAGTAGGTCAGCCAATTAAGGTTCAAAGTGGAAATGCTGAACACCTCCCTCGCCTCCCCCCTTTCCGACAAACCTTGCTCCTTCATTGGATAAAGGTTAATTATTAATTCTACTCAGAGGGCTGAAGGGTTTACCGATCAATCTTACGACACTTTTTTCACATTCAAGTACTCCCCAATGCCACCCACCTCACCCCACCCCACCACCATTTTCTCT